TTCGATAAGTTTAAAAGACTCGAAGCTTATGTAACTAATTGAAATACTCACTCTATTAATAACGGGTTGAAATAATAAACACTTATTAATTGTAAAAATAATTAATTATACAAAATATTTTAAAAATTTTTAGAAGCCGGCCTTATTTTTTAGTGTTTTACACACATTTTTACCGACTTATAGCTGTTACCAGTAAACATTTCCTGCATGTATTCATTTGATCTTACATTAGTTAGGTTTTCTTTACCACCGTGACAACATGATTTGTACAATATTCTTCATGAATTTTTACTTGCAAAATAAGTTGCATAGCAGAACTGATAAAAATTATTCATCTCTCCAAGTGATTGTGTATCTAGATTCCTTACTGTTAGACCAGGCCTCTCTTCTACTCTTCTCGTACATAAGATTTCCTCTTAACCTCCTCTTGTTTTCAATATTTCTTCTTTAAACTCAAGAAATTGTTTGTTCTTCCAACAAAACTGATTAACTGTTTGGATTGGTCTATAACCTCCTGAATATATACCAACTGATGATTTTTACTCCCAAGAAGCTGGTGAGTTTCTTTTTATATACAGCTGTTTTTGTTTTTAAATTTGTTCAATGTAATTCTTAAGATGAAAACCCGACCTGACTCACGCCTTTAAGGGTAGGAACTTTTAAGTTATAAAACCTTAATGCAAAACTACGAATTGGGCCGAATCTTTTGACACCTTAAACGTTGAAATTGGTCCACAAATAAGGGAGGAGTAGTGTTCACAAAAAACAGCCCTCACGTATTAATATAAGAGAAGATATATTACTGATTAAATCATCCGAAAATTAAAAACTAATGCTTAAAACTGCAATTTATCAATAACTTCTTAGAAATAGTGATATGTCGATATACAAAAATTATTTGAATCTCTGTACAGACACCTGAAAAATAGATTCTTAATACTGATCAATTCAATTTTACCAAATTTTCTGTAATTACTACTACACCAACCCCTGTCTTTAGATACTTTCATATACAGTAGTATGTAATCTTGGAGCTATAGGTTGTTTCTCAAGTGAACTACAGAAATAATTAAGAAATAATCATCTCTGAATAATATAGTTTTAACGTAGCCGTTATTGTACAGAATGTCTTCTTCAAGTTTGTTTAGGAGTTTTTGATTTGGTTTTCGTTTCAAACTTGATGATCAAACCTGGCTTTCGTCCAAGTACACATCATACAGCTAATACTAGGCAGTAAACGCATCGTTGATTTAAGTATGCGTCCTTACTTCCGGAATAGACGTGGGTATACGTTTTGGATAATTAACTTATTCAAAATATAATGTTAAGCTACATTTTTACATGTTTACAGAGCCTCTTTGAGACCGTGTTTTAAACAATATGGTCATATACGTTGTTTTAATGGCTTTGCTATTATACAGACATAGTTTTCACATTTTAAGCAGAGTCAATATTGTCATATAGTGCAGTAAAAATAAGATAAAAATTCCATAAACCTAAAAAAAATTAGCACAACCGGGGAATTTGGTACAGATGTTGGGTGTACCTTCCTTTTGAACATACTAAAAGTCCCCTAAAATTGAAGCTGTGTTACGGCCGCCATATTGGAAAATGGCGGCATATTTATGTATTTTTCGCTATAGTGACTTTATTATTAGAGATACAGGAAAAAGCTAAATATACAAAATGTAGGTCATCTGAAAATACACATTTTTTGTATTTACCATCTTTCTCTAAACCCAACGGTTTTTTAATTATTTGTTATTAAGTATATTTAGTTTTTTCTATTTATCAAAAATAGGCGAAACACATGGAAATTGACCGTTACTTTCAAGGATTATGATAATTTATCCTATTTAGTTAATAGTGTGATACTATAAAATCTAAAAATTTAAGCTTATTTTATGAGTAAAACAACTCTGCCACAGCAAACCTGCAGACTCAGCCAATTTCCTTTTGATTGGATGTTTTATTAATTGTATTTAAATAAAATCAGATTCAACAGGTACCTAGGTTTGCTGCTACAGGTAGGTTATTATAGTGTGTTTTTTTAAGTAAAATATCAATAACTTAGTATAAAATAATTAATTTTCCAAGTTTGATCATAATAAATCTATAAACAAACAAACTGCAACAGTTAACTAATTCATAATAATAGCATGGTAGCTTAAGATTTACAATTTACAAACTTAAATATACAAATTTTGGTTGTGTTTACTAAAAATATGGCGATTATTCGTCACGATTCGAATACTAACCGAAGGGGTTTTCAAAAGGAGATGAAGCAAGTAATTTAAGTACTGTAATATTAACTCGTACCAAGTATCGGAAATATTGTATATAGTGAGGAAATCAACCATTTTTTGTAAACTGCGCAATAGTCATATTAATATTTTATACTCATTTGTACCCATTTAATAAATTAACATTTTAATATTTTGATGGCACTACCACTATCACTCTGATATCAACTAAGTGGGATGAATAATTGTCGTAAACCTTGAAAGTAACCGTCGATTGCGATGGGTTTCACCGATTTTTGATAAATAAAACTAACTATACCATGCTTAATTAGTCACCAACATGAACTAGACACGAAAAACACCCTTCCAAATTGACAATGGGATGTCAAGTATAGTTAGTTAGTGTGGTGGTGCCATTAAAATACTAAAATGTTAACTATTAAATGGATAAAAAATAAGATAAAATATTAATATGACTATTGCGTACTTTACAAAATATGGTAGATTACCTTACTGCATACAATATTTTCGGTGCTTGGTACGAATTAATATTACTTAAATAACAGGCTCCATCTCCTTTTGAAAACCCATTTGGTTAATATTCTAATCGTGACGAATAATCGCCATCTTTTTAGTAAACACAACCAAAATTTGTATATTCAAATTTGTTTATTGTAAATTTAAAACTCCCATGCTATTCTTATGAATTAGTTAACTGTTGCAGTTTGCTTGTTTGTAGATATATTTTGATCAAACTTGGAAAATTAGTTATTTCATAGTAAGGTATTGATATTAAAAAAAAAAACACTATAATAACCTTCCTGTAGCAGCAAACCTAGGTACCTGTTGAACCTAATTTTATTTATATACATTTTTTAATAAAACATCCAATCAAATGGAAATTTGCTGAGTCTGCAGGTTTGCTGTGGCGGAGTTGTTTTACTCATAAAATAAGCTTAAATTTTTAGATTTTATAGTATCACACTATTAACTAAATAGGATAAATTATCATAATCCTTGAAAGTAACGGTCAATTTCCATGTGTTTCGCCTATTTTTGATAAATAGAAAAAACTAAATATACTTAATAACAAATAACTCAAAAACCGTTGGGTTTAGAGAAAGATGGTAAATACAAAAAATGTGTATTTTTAGATGACCTACATTTTGTATATTTCGTTTTTTCCTGTATCTCTAATAATAAAGTCACCATAGCGAAAAATACAGAAATATGCCGCCATTTTCCAATATGGCGGCCGTAGCACAGCTTCAATTTTAGGGGACTTTTAGTTTGTTCAAAAGGAAGGTACACCCAACATCTGTACCAAATTCCCCGGTTGTGCTATTTTTTTTTGGGTCAAAACATATTTTTACTGTACTAATAGTCCAGTAATAAATATTTCGTAAAAACAAAAATACCATTATCTGCTTCCAAACAAAACAGCTGTTACTGTTAATCATAACAAACTTTGTTTTCAAGAGGAGTCGCAAGCAGCGAATTTTGGCTTAGTTATATAAATTTGAAATACTTACCTTTTGATTACTACTGCACATAGGCCTAATAACTAAGCTAAACTAGTTTGTATACAATAACTATGCTATAAGAATGGAATGGTTATTTATTCACGTCACTCTTTTCAACGTAATTTAATATGACCGTGAAAAGAAGTTAATGTATTTCATTTTTGTTCATTCAAACATAATATGCATTATTGTTCATTCGGTAACAAATTGTGAACAGCTATTGCTGGCAAAGGTGGACAAAATACCTGTTGTAAAATTTAGTTGTTGGTATCTGGTACAAAGTATTTCACGGTTTGTTGAAGTTTTAACCTTTGTGAATTTAAGCTAACCCATGAACAGTTAGCAGCCTACTTGGGAAGGTTAAGAAAATATTAATGAATAACGTACAAAGAAGTCTGTTAGGCCTCTCGCACTCGGAATGGCCTTAATTTGCAGTTTCTTAGAATATCCTTTCACAACAAGCAATTCATTAGGTGTCGGGTAACTTGGTTCAGTTCACTTTCGTGTGATTCCCCTCTAATATCCAACATAACTTTTGTTTGATTTTACTTGGTAATCATAATAGACAAGCTCCTGGGTGAAATGGGGGGGGGGTACAATTCCAGGGGGGTACAATTCCGGTCCTATAAGAAGAGCTAGACTGCCGGGGGGTACAATTCCAGTGAACAAATATCCATATGACGATAATGTAAACAAATCTGGGAAGGGAACTTTAAAGGCAGAGTCATAAGTGAATTTACTTTGTTTTTCTTTTGATGGCTCATCTACAGACCGCAACCTTTCTTTGGACACCTTTACCAAGTTTCTATGCTCAGCTGTTCTCTCAAATTAGTGGAGACAAAGTTTCCAATTAAATATTTAGATTCCCTCGTGTTAATCTTATGGAAGAAAACCCAACTTTGATGGAAGATCTTGCCCAAACTAATAAAGATTTCAAAAAATGAAAAACACTTCGCAAAAATACAAATCAGGGCCATTTTTTTACACTTTAATCATCAAAATCGGTCCGAAAATGATATGAGGGAGGGGTTCTGTTCACAAAAATCGGCTTAGCGTATTTTATATATAGATAGTTATTAGTTATCAGTCTCACTGCCATTTAAGGAAATGTAAAATAAAAATATTTTTTTCCATGCAAAAAAATAGTAATGCTTATCTAAATTTTTTTTTAAATTTAATTTTTTATTTTTAAATATAGCCTCTTGTAAGAGGAATAGTTTTTCTAAAAACATACCACTGGGAATAAAGTTGTCTTTCTAGGTCTACCAATCTTTCCTTTCTGTCTGCCTCTTGGTCTCTGTAAAGACATGATAAAATAATATTTACTTATATCGTATAACAAACTTCACTGTGGTGAAAGTTTTATTAATTGCCAATGGTATTTTTTTTTTATTAAAAAGTAACAGTCCAAACTCTAGTCTTGTTAATATCTGATGTCAATCTATTTTTAGAAAACATCTTAAATATTACCATAGACTAACCAACACAAGGAGTATGTTTAATATATTACATTACAATGACAAAATACAGACTGGGTCCAGCCAAGGCCCTACTAGAAAAACAGGCCATGCTGCACCGCGGGCAGACAACACTGCATCACAGTGGTGGATAGTTGTACTAAAATCCTACCAATAAAATCTGACAAACAGCCAGCTTATTTACCTAAACATATGGGATATTCATCGATCTCTAGAGATTGATGGGGATATTACAGTGAATCTATCAACAAATCTATCCACTAGTGTGCGTCATGGATCCTGCAGCATGGCCTGTGGTCCAGCACTGGTCTTTACCCAGACTGATCTAGCGAGATGTTTTGTTACACAACTATTTAGCTCAAAAATGGTTAACAAATTATTAAAACTAAAGAAACTTCAACATTAACTATAGTAGGCAACTCCTTCAAATTCCTCGCTAATATAATGTTATAAAGGGGAAATAGCTTATACTTGATCTATTTTACCATACAAAATTGTTAGAACAGTGTAGAAAATAGTGCATGATAAAAAAAAAGTTGTGAAGCCTCTTAGCTGTAGTTATGAATGACTGATTTTTGGTTTGTTCGTGAAAAAACTTTGTAAGCTGTTTGTAACAATAAAGTAGTATATTTATTTACAAAAAAAGTGGAGGCAATTAAATGACCAGATTTCCCTCTTAGGTATTTTTGAGAATGGTGTTTTTTCTCCCATCGGTCAAACCACAAAAGAATATTTACATTTTGAATTATACAACTACATTAGGAAAAAATGTAACAATCGTGTTAATATATACATGGAAAGTGCCCCAATAGTGCAGAGAAAGCACAAATATGGTGAGTATATTACTGCAATTCAGAGGCAAATAGTTTGTACAATATACAGTATAATAGTTCCTGTAAAAACCTGGTAAGGTGCTACAGTAGGAGTAGGTGAAGTTCTCCTCAGACGGACGTAGTCGTGTGGATCCATCTGAGTGGTGCGGGAAGAGTCATCCTACAATACTGAAACAACTTAATCTGATAAACTGCAACAGGAAATGTGCTGTGCCCTCTAGCCATTCGCATGCTATTTATAACATTGATTAGCTGTACTTTCAAATTATATGGGCAAACCCGCAATACTGGCCGAGAAATAAATAAAATACACAGATAAATTAAGATAAAACAATACTAATCATCTGCAATATGTTTCATATTAACACAATCTATACTTCTATACTATCTAAAAATTATAAAAATCTGATGGTGTCTGTCTGTATGTGTATTACTAATACGCGAAAAAACTACTCAACCGACCGGGCTTAAATTTTACAAAAATATAGCTACCATACCAAGGATGGTAATAGGTCTATTCACACTTCAATACCGATACCAACCGTGGGCTTTGCCCCTTTTGCTTTTAAAGTTCTGAGGTGAGGATTTTAAAAGTAAATATTGATTGATCTCCATGGCTGCAATGAGAACCATCACAATGTTTACATTTGCTTTGACATTACAGTGTAAACAAGAAGAACTGCCAAAGTCCATATTCCACAATTTCAGACAGCTGGTCCAATATTCCAATGAAATTAAATATAATATTTTTCACAACTAGCCTATGTGTTAGGTTTATTTGATCTTAAACTTCATTAGATTATTTTTTCTAAGACGATGTCAATGATTATAGAAATAAAAAAATCTATAACCGTTGCTGTATAAACCTAGATTCTACTTTCGATTTTCAAAAGTGTATAGTATAAGTTATAAAAATAATTTTATTCATATATTTTCATGAACATAGTATAAAAATTACAATGTATAAATATTTTGTTTAAATTTTGAGAATTTGTAATTAAACTGCTTAACATGTGTTGGATCAACTTAACATAACTTCCACTTCACATTGACGTTTTTACATTTAGCTAAATTTAGTCAATTGTGTTTTGGTACATATGGTTGGTACATGTGGTTTGGTACTACATAGAGCAAGAGCCCATGACTGCCAGACCTTCGTTATTTTATAAAAGCTGAAAGTTTCTCAGCAAATGCCCCCAATTCAGTTAAGAATGATCGGCGACTATGAAATTTGGATCTTGGTTACTTTTGCAACAAAAAGGTAACAAAGGTCTGAAATTTACAAATAATCTTCGTTATAGTGTAAAGCTTGGTTCTTTCATATTTTCTTTAGAAGAATGTTAGAAATCATTTCCTCCATTGCCAGACACTTTGTGTGGTTTAAACCCTCTGCCAGACACCCTTAAAACTTCCGTAACAAATACTTCCGTAACTTCCGGAACTTCCGTAAAAACAGTCGTTTTTAATGCATGCGTTGCGGGTCTAAAGTAGCATTTTTACTCTTTAGGGGGTAAAAATCATTTTTAGCCTCTATGGAGTAAAAATCAGCTGTTGTCAACTCAGTTGTAATTTTCTATTATAAACAATTGCATGTATCGAAATATGTATTGATTCGTGCTTCATGATCATTTTAACCTTTAGTCTACTGTCTCTTCCCATAGTACTTTAGCATTGCAGATACATTAATCCACACTCAACACTGCTCACCTTTACTACTTTCTTCACCACCCCCTACGTCGTGGACCTGTTTCCCTCTCTTCCCATAGCATTTTAGGATTACTGATACAATGTAATTGCCAAAGACAGTCCCCACACTCTGCACTGCAAGCCTTCCTTCACCATTTCCTACGCCATAGACCTGTTCCCTTCCCTTCTCATAGCATTTAAGTATTAGATACATTTATCTAACTGTCCAAACGGTTCCCCCACTCATCTGCACTGCCAGCCTTTACTACTTCTTCACCACTTCCTACGTTACGGACCTGTTTCCTCCCTTCCCATAGCATTTTAGATTTGTTGATACCTTAATCTAATTGTCATAAACAGTTTCCACTCTCCGGACAGCTCGCCTTGACTACTTCCTTCACCACTTCCTACGTCGCGGACCTGTTTTCCTCCCTTCCCATAGCATTTTAGGATTGCAAATACCTTAATCTAATGGTCATAAACAGATCCCATACCCCGAACAGTTTGCATTTACTACTTTCTTCACCACTTCCTACGTCGCGGACCTGTTTCCTTCCCTTCCAATAGCATTTTAGGATTGAAGATACCTTAATATAATCGTCATAAACAGTTCTCACACTCCGGACAGTTCGCCTTGACTACTTCCTTCACCACTTCCTACGGCGCGGACCCGTTTTCCTCCCTTCCCATAGAATTTTAGGAATGCTGATACCTTATTCTATCGTCATAAACAGTTCCCACACTCTGGACAGCTTGCCTTGACTACTTCCTTCACCAATTCCTACGTCGCGGACCCGTTTTCTTCCCTTCCCATAGAATTTTAGGAATGCAGATACCTAAATCTATTCGTCATAAACAGTTCCCACACTCCAGACTCCTCACCTTTACTACTTCCTTCACCACTTCCTACGTCACGGACCTCAAGCAAGTGTCGTCATTTGATTATATTTATGATCCATACCGTTTCTGTTCTAATATCTGTGGATTAGTGCTATCAGCTATTTCTTTATTTACTGTATTCAAAAGTCAACAGCTAATCATATGTTTTTGTTTATGTGTCAAATACTGCTTCCATAAGAAATAACATTGAAACTTTGAGACCCAGTGGGGCGGATTCCTGAGAGACTTTTTTAACGCCATATAGATGTTGGCACTCGCCGATATGGTCTTTATCACCATGCAAAATTTGAAAACGATTGATTCAGCCGTCTAGGAGGAGTTTGCGTATTACGAAATGCATAAGAGTCGACGTATAAGAGCTTCGCTCGCTCCGCTCGATAAGCTGAAATTGATATATATTACTTGGGGAGCTATCAAAAGACGTTTTCTCAAAAGCCAGACACTTTCGTTGGTTACTTCATCTAGCCAGACACTTTAAAGTCTGCCATGATAAGCTTAACTGTTACCTGCAAAGTGCAAACAGTGAATTCAGTTCCAGTTTGGAACAGGTTTCTGTTGCAAATGTAAATGGTGAAATTACTACTTTCTTCTTCACAATCTGGTTTTATAATAAACCATATGTTTGAGGTAAACATTTGTTATATTTGCATTTAATTGTTTGTTTATTCCTGCAGTGTTTTGAAAATATGTATTATGTTCTGAAACCTTGGGAGATGATTTAATTCGTTTTTTAGTAAATCTCAAACATGTATAGACAACATCCTTTTTAATAGAGGAAGAGATCTTTCAAAGTATTGCAATATAGAATTAGGATTATCAGACCATAGAGCCTTGTTTATCTTAAATGAATGTGGATTAAAAACTGAGCTAAAAACTAGTGATACTTTAAAAAAACGTATATTTAATAAAAGAAACATGCTAAGGTTTTTAGAAGTGCTTAATGAACCCTCATGGAATGTCACTGTATTTAATGATGCCCAACATAATTTTGATAATTTCTTGCAAAAATTTAAGTTGGATTTTCAACATTGCTTCCCTTTAAAAAGCGTTAAAGCAAATTGTAAAAATGTAAAAAGAAAGAAGTGGATCACCCAAGGTATTATGGTGTCAAGTGCTAGAAAAAGAGAACTCTATGCAGGCTAGCTAAAAATTCGAATGACCAGCATTTTATTCAATATGTTAAGAGGTATAAAAAGGTGTTCAAATCTGTTTGTAACTCAGCCAAGAAACTATCTCACAGTAATTACATTAAGAACTCTGTAGATAAAAGTAAAGCTGTATGGGCAGTTGTTAACTCAGAGCTAGGTGTCCATAAAAATAAATCTAGTTTCAGTAATATTGAACACAATAATTACATAATTGGTAATGGCACAGAAATAGCTGAACACTTTAATAATAAATTTGCTAACATTGCGAAATTTAACTCTGCTCTCTTCAATGAATTAGATGCCGACAAATTTCTTAGCAATACTAATCTAAATAATCGTTACATACCTAATTTCAACTTTCAGCCTGTTTCCAGAGAGAAGGTTGCAAAAATAATTTTTACTCTTAAAAACAAAATGTCAGCTGGTTGGGACGAAATTCCTGTTAAACTGATTAAGCAAACTGCCAACATTGTTTCTGGACCTTTGAGTCAGATAAATAAACCAGTCTTTTGAAAGTGGAATTTTTCCTTATCATTTAAAATATGCTGATGTGAAAACGCTTCATAAAAATGGCAGTAAAACAAACTCAGATAACTATCGCCCAATTTCCATCTTACCAGCCTTTTCTAAAGTTTTTGAAAAAATTATTACTGAGCAAATTTCTTTTTTCCTTAAAAGTAATAACATTTTTGTAAAAGAACAATATGGCTTTAGATCAGGACGTATTACAACTCAGGCTCTGTCTGACTTCTTGTGATAAGTCTCAGAATATTGCTGGAATGTTTTGTGACTTGTCAAAAGCCTTTGACTGTGTTGTACATAACATTTTATTTTCTTAGCTTAAATTTTACAATTTTTCTCCAATTGCTTTGAAGTTGTTGAAATCCTATCTTACAAACCGCTTTCAAAGAACCATTATTTTTAAAGATAACATCTATAACTTTTCAAAATGGAAAATGATCTATTGTGGTGTACCTCAGGGATCTATATTGGGACCCTTGTTGTTTTTAATCTATTTTAACGACCTGCCTTTTAACATAAACTCAAAGCTTGTTCTATACGCAGATGACACAACAGCTATATTAAAATCTAACAGCCCCAACAATTTACAAATTTGATAAACCAAACTTTTGAAGATTTAAACAAATGGTTCACAGCAAATGGGCTGAGTCTAAATTGTTCTAAAACTCAAATTATTAGGTTCATAACTACTCATGACAGAGAAACTATCGAATTAAATATTAATTTTCAGGGAGACATTATTAATGAAACGTCATCTACAAAATTTTTAGGCATTCAGGTACATAACACTTTAAATTGGGATAAATACACATCAGTCCTAGCTAATAAACTTAATACAGTTTGTTTTCAGATGTCTGTCCTGCAGCATGTTACTGACCTCAGGACAAGGATGATTGTTTATTAG